AGAGAGAGAGAGAGAGAGAGAGAGAGAGAGAGAGAGAGAGAGAGAGAGAGAGAGAGAGAGAGAGAGAGAGAGAGAGAGAGAGAGAGAGACTTCCAAAAAAAACATTGCCAGAGAGGGCAATTGTCCGGATGCACCAAAAATACATCTGCTCGATTTCTTCTCCCGGAAGAACGTTTATTAAGATAAGTAAGTTAGCGGGAACAAACTGTTCCCTTTTCCTGCCCTAAGAATAAAGAAATGTGGACAACAGAACAGCAACCTGGAGAAGGTGAATGACAACCTCAGTGATGACATACATCACGTCTAGCGTCATTCACCAGCAGCTTCTGTGGAGGGGTGACAGCTCAGACCAGTTTACTATAGTCTGAACTTTGAAGAAATAAGAAGAATAGGAATTGGCCTGCACACTGCACAGTGAGAAGGTCAAATAGATAGCTAAATGAACTACGCAAAACATAGTTCTACAACACAGACTAATAATGATCACACCCTCTTCATCACCCAACTCACAAAACACGTTTCTACATCACGCTGGATGATAACGATCCCACCTCGCCAACTATCCAATGGCTTTGTGATAGAACTCTCTGGTCCACCGCTCTCATCGCTTGCTCTTTCTATATGTGAAGACATGTTCTTCACTGGATGAGCCAACAACCTATATGGGAGGATGAGGATGCGGTTCCTATATTTGAAACAGCAGGTCTTGAGAGAAGCAGACGGAGGCGGCATTAACTTAACAATACAATAGCGTAAATGAGTGTGGCACTCGCTTAACAATCCACTAGCTTGCACAACCAATGTCTTAATTCCCTGCGCACGCACGCCAACTAGGTACAGGCAGGTAAAGCATACAAGGTAGCAATCTTCTCCCTGGCGAATGGGAAATTGGACCCTGTCCTTTCCAACGACTGTGGCTTCAGAAAAAAAACCTGGTTGGATGGATGTCTGGGACATATCACTCTACCTTATGATCCTGTTGCACAAGATGAAGATCTCTCAAGCTCTCTCCTCTATCTGCCGCGATCTGCATGCAAACCTAAACGCAACAATTGCATCGAGCAGTCGACTGTGACACGGTCAAAAGGAATAGGAATAAGAGCCAGTGGCGAAGACATGATCGAAGACAGGATCCTCGAGAAGCTTACTTGACAAGTTAGCACACCATTTGATATTTCCAGGTCTTGGACAAATGAGTTGGTAGAAATTTTCATGGCGTTGCGATATTCTCCAATGCCTTGGGAGCGATCTCTTCAGCATCAATTCCAGGTTTTGTGTTAACTACTTGCAATTTCAGCAATGCCTCTTCCCATTTCCGTGCCGGCTCCTGCAAATATTCCGGAAGAAGCAACAAACATGTTCGGTGAGAGATAAACAGGGGCTGGCAAAAAGAAGCTGAAATTCCATTTTTCCTCTATCCAAAAAAGAAAGGAAAAATACAGGGAGGTACAAACTATGACATCCTTCCCCCCTCCTCCCATCATCCCCCCCCCCCCTTCCCTTTCCGCCCCCACCACCAAGCACCAAGCCAGCCTCTTCCTCTCACAGATGGTTTGTGAGTCTTGTGACCAATGGCTGTGTTTGCTGCTCATCCAAACACGGTGATCCACTAATTGACGCGTGATTCTTTCTCCTTCAACTCCAGTCTAAGGGCCCTGAGGACTGATGGTTACAATAGGACGTACCACAACGCAATGAAATACCACAATGCCAATGCACTCACTCTCAAGCAAACCCGTGTCACCACTACTGGGATAGAGGCTTTGCACAAGAGCCGGAAAAACAAAACAAAAGGAAAACAAAAAACAAAAAACAAGACAAAAAAAAAGGTTTTCCTGGGGGCACGGTCCCACTAGCAACGGGATAAGCCTTAGCTATATCCCTGCAACATCTGTTTTCCGAATTAAATCAGGACAACCTAGTAGTTCGATCCGTTAGGGCCGTCCATTCCACGGAGATCTGAGGGCACTGCTTTTTTCATCAATTGTTTGGTTCGTATCCCGCTTTTCATGTTTTGCAATGAAAATGGATCCCCCTCTCATTGGCCATGCATAAAAAAAAGAAAAGAAAACGCATTTGGAGGGGGGTCTTCCCTCTAGAGCAATTTTCTTTCGGGTAGAGGGCAGTCACACGAGTTCCATTCAGAAAAGTGGTGTATATATAATGAATTTCTAAAATATTATGAGTGGGCAGTTGGCCTGTCAGAATGGGAAGCGTCATCCGTCCACCCCATGAGTTCAGCATCAGAGACGTGTAGAGAGGCTGGTAATGTATACGGCGCATAAAACAGCCCCATACATTTCCAATAAAATTTCCCTGGCAGGCTCAGCCGCAGGATCACTAGCAACTGAACAAGGAGATTTATGCAAGGCGGGAACAACTAGCAAGATTCGGATTGCTCACACATTTGGAATGTATCGGACCTAGGACATGTCCAGATACACTTAGAATGCTGTATAGTCTTCCTCCCTCTCTCTCGCATGTGTTTGTTGTCATTGGCGCTGTGTCTGTGTTAGCGCGGCTAATCCGGATGTACTTTCTCTATTTCTAATTATTTCTTGAAGTGTCTTTAATACAAAAAACACATGTCCCCCGGATATAGCTAAGGCTAATCCGGGTGCTAGTGGGACTGTGCCTCAGAAGCAGTCATTTCCCGTCAAGTGGAACAGAGTGGCGAAGTTCATTTATCGTACGCCATGCAGGCCTTGCAACAAATCTGGATGCTTTGCAATGTTACACTCCTACACATCCCCGCCAAGGAGTTTTGACCGAACCCCTATCTTTGGCATGAGTATATTGAGTATATTCTGAAATGCAAGGCATCAGAACCAGCAGGCCACCGTACAACATGCAAGTTCTACTGGAACAAGTTTGCTCAGTTGCCAATCCCTCCCAGGAGAGAAAAATGTTATAATGAACAAGTTTTGCTATCCTATCCATCCAGTGCGAAACCAATTTGCCAGGACCAGTTCGCTTTGCAGTGTTCGCACTGATTTGAAACAGACAATAAGATATACACTCATGACATCCAGCTGAGAAACACCATCGCCATAAATTTCAACAGACAGAAGCTTAGAGGGCAAGCCAAGTGTCTGTTCCATAATCCCGTCTTTCTGCGAATATAACAAATGTTTACTTGAGAGTTGAGTGCCCCAGAAACAGCTATCTGAATGCCCCGCTTGCATCCAATGGCACCAGGACCCAATCCGCTTTGCACCGACTTGAAAGAAACAATAAGATACACACTCAATTTCAGCTGGGAAACACCGTCGCCGTAAATTTCAACAGACAAAAGCTCGGAAGGCAGGCCAAGTGTCCTATCCATACTGGCAGTCCTTGTGTCAAGAGAGACAAGCAAACACACCATCTTCAAAGAAAGGAATACTCAGTACTATCTGAATGCCCAGCATGCATCAATGGGGGAGTGTCACTGCTCACCTTCCAAGACAAGTCTTGCGCCATGCCTGCCAGGATCATGGATTCAAGTGCCGGTGTGCCATAAACCTTGGATGCTTTCTTCACTCCTGCCACCACCTTGGTGACATCCGCAGGATCAATTCGGTCGCACTGCACGCAGCCATAGCACAAAGTCAGGGTGAAACTCCTTGCTAGTAAAACAGTACTAGAGCTACATCTCAGTAGGCGAGAAAGAGAAGAATGTGAGGGGGGAGAAAGAAATGCTGAACGCAAGGACGCGAGAAAGATAAGAATGTGAGGGGGGAGAAAGAAGTCCTGTAAAGATCCAGGGATAACGGGGCCTTATGACTCTGGCTCCATGTCCATTCTGGGGAGCGTCAGTGAGGTTCCTATGCAACCGGCAAGTCAGAACGAAGGAGCAGGTGTAGCGCAAAGTGAGTTGCAAAACTCGTTGCTTGTAAAAAACTAGATAATCTGGGATCCCCTCTCGCCAGAAAGAACATTTCCCCGGCTCAAGTGGAGCCCATCACAATCGGGGCCTAAATGAGGTGCACCTGAGGACTCCTGCAAGAATGTAAACACCCTAGTTAAACCACCAGTACCTCATACAAGTGCTCCACGTTAACGGGCGTGGCTTTTGGGATGAACGGGCCTGGGCCGTTAGCCCGATTCAGCCAAGTGGAAACGGCACGATTTCCACTTTTGGCTGGCCGTTAACGCGGAGTACTTTTAAGGAGGTACTGGTGGTTTAAGGCTCATTAAGCACAGGAGATCTTCTGAGGTTCGAGGTCTTCAGGCAAATCTGACAGTTCTACCTTCAAGCGGACTGAGTTAGGAACTGAAGGAGGATTGCAATGCTAACCTGGAAGTCGATCCTCCTACGAAGGAGTAATCAATGCTGCTCAGTGGGCCCTTCTGCCTGACTGGAAGGAAGGCTTTTGTGGACAACGTTGTATCATCTCTGACTTGCCAGTGAAAAAGGAACTGAACTGACACTCGTCAGAATAGAACGGAGCAGCGGAGCCAGGACCATAAGGACCCGATTAAAGAAAAAAGTTCAAAAACAAATCTGCGTGAAAGAGAAACATGTGAGGAAGGAGGGGAGAATTACTGAAGGCAAGGAGGCTCGCGCACCAAAAGGGCTGAGGGAATCAGGGGAGAGCAAACTTCAACAAAGGGGATTAAGAATGGCTACCAGTAGCAGGTCCGCTGTGGAATGATTCCGAAGCAGCTTGCTGCCCTTTACGATGCGATGTTTGGGGCCCATAAATAGAACGAGAGCACAGCAAGTGAAAAACGAACGGTTACTTTTTCTGATTGCATTGTGTATGCAAACTGCAGAGCCTTAGTATACAGATTTCAGGATGCTGCCACTTCTACGATGAAAGGAATCACACCTCAGAAAAAAAGAAACAGTGCAAATCAGATTGAAGTTTTCACCTTCATCCCCCCGGAGGCAGAAGGCCTTGGAATCGCAAATCACAGAGAATGATCTCTAAAGAAAAATGTCGTTGTTTGCTGGACAGATACGCCATTTTTACATGGGTGGCTGTCTGTCCTGGCACATACCATGTTCAACGTACATAGCCGTACGAGGGCTTGCTTATGAGGATGGTGCAAATCCAAATTTCCGTTATCAAAGAGCTTTCCCTTATCGCTGTTAACGCTCTTCATTCTTGTTTTGCAGAGAGTGAGAACCTTTTGTTTATTTTTTCCCAAAAGGGGGTTAGCCCCAAACATTGTTTGGTCCATCAGGATTTGAATTTTGAACTTACAATATTCTCATCGTCAGATGTATGCACATGCCATTCGGCTGCAAGCCAGGGGCAGGGGAGAATGAGAACCCAGTAAGAAACAGACCATAAAATGCCATGGTGACCAAGGATTTACCACTGACTGACATGGCAGCTGCATGCACATGCCATTCGGCTGCAAGGCAGGGGCAAAGGGAAGAATGAGAACCCAATAAGAAATACTAAAATAGACCATAAAATGCCAGGGTGGCCAGCGATTTACCACTGACTGACATGGCAGCTGCATTGGATAGCTGGGTCCAGAGGTCCAGAGGTCCAAGTCCAAGGTTCAAGGCCTGATAAATTACCAGTGGATTTTCTTATTCGTGGCTACACTTGAGTTGTACACTGCGTCGACATGACAACGAGACACTGGTACTGGATCTAGGACTAGGAATGACAGGACAAGTAAATGCATGGCCTATTTCACGTCCACTTATGCACAAATACATGCATGGCCTATTTCATCTCCAGTTGTGCACAAATAAATGCATGGCCTATTTCACGTCCACTTATGCACAAATAAATGCATGGCCTATTTCAAGCCCACTTTTTCAGTCGTGGTCAATTATCGATTATGCCATTATGCTGCCATTCCAAGCCTACAGCTTGATGATGACTACGGAGCGGTAGCCCCTAACACATCAGGACTCGACCTCATGATCTGTTCATCAACAGTTGTGTATACAATCACGAGTCGATGTTGCTCACCGTATGGTGTGTAACATTATGTAAATGTTTGTTAGAAGTTTTAGTATTTTACGTTCTGCTTTTGCATTATTATTTATTTTATTATTATTAATGTTGTACAGTTGTTGTCATTAAAACATTATTATTATTATTATTACTATTATTATTATTATTATTATTATTATTATTATTATTATTATTATTGTTATATTATTTCTAATCTTCTCTGTATTGTTCCAATTTTAACGGATACCAAGGAAACATCATGTTGCAGCCAGATGGTTGTCCCGGACTGATAAAAGGGGCCTGGGATAAGCCATTTTTTGAAAAATTTTCAACGTCCTTCAAGATGCTGCAGTGCAGCTGCACCCTTGGTACCATCCTTTCTGACATCCGTTAAAATTGGAACGATACAGAGAAGAGTAGCATGAGCCCTGCGCAAGGATGACAGGTACAAATGGAGAAATGTTCCAACTTGAAAACAAAAAGGAGGGAAAAGAAGAAGAAGAAGAAGAAGACATCTTCCCCCGAACATAACGCATGTGTTGTATTCTAAGCTACCAGAGTGGCCCGGGGTCACTTGCCCGGCCGGGTCAAAAAAAAAAAAAAAAAAAAAATTCAAATTCAAATTTTATTTTGTATTTTTAATTCGGTGGAGAATTTCGATGTGGCCCTGAGGCAAAAGTTGTTCGATTTATTTTTTTCTGCACAACATAGTTTTTTTTCAGATTTTTTTGATTTTTTTTTTTTTTTTTTGCTTGGACCTTCACTGTTCCTTGCATGGGCTGGCCACCCGGGACCCGGGCGGCCCGGCCGGTAGCCTAGGTTGTATTTGAGTTTTCGAAAAATTCAAAATTTTGAATGGAATGCACATGTGTTGTATTCGAAAAACAGGGCTGTTCGAATAGACCGCATGTGCATTGTATTCGAATAGAAAGCACCGTATGCGTTGTATTCGCTTACAAATTGCAATGCGTATGTGTTATGTTCGGGGGAAGACGATAGTTGTAGTGATTGGTGAACCCAGCGGAAAGAAAGCCGTTGTGGGCTTCCGTTGTCCGTCACAGCTCATACACCAGTCTATACATCTTCTTTATGTCTCTTTTACCTTGACAGAGCTTGCGTTTTTACCGCTGCATTATGCACTTTTATTTCTTATACATTTAAATATTTATGATTTTCATTGATTTTAAAGAGGCTGCCCCCTAACATTATTGTATCAATCTGAGAGAAGATAAGTAATTTACTAATTTCTTTAACTCACCCGCACATTAAATGCAGAGCTCCCCATGCGGAAGCCTGTGATTCCTTCCCTCACAGTGTCAACGAGTCCTCCTGTCGCGGCAACAATCGGCACCTGGAGACACGGATACAACAAACAGAAGAATTAGTTCAGTTCGGTTCGCAATTGCACTAACCATCACCACATCTGCATCTAGAGCATGATCTTCACTGTAGATAGAGTTCCATGCATCTGTCTCATTCATAAGTCCACAGCTGCAATCAGTCAAAACAAGAGCTGTGCAATCATTATATATAGGTCATAAAAATGATAAAACTGAATCCCTTGGCGGATATTAAAGACTGTGGACAACTGCCCTCCGGGACATTCGTTAAAATTGGAACGATACAGGGAAGGTTAGCAACTTAGCATGGCCCCTGCACAAGTATGCCACACATAAATCGAGAAAAGATCCAAAAAAAAAAAAAAAAAAAAAAAAAAAAAAAGACTGCTGACAGTTGTCAAAAGAGAACTACTTTGGAAAGTACACTAAAACGAAGGTTCGGAACCCTGTCTTGATCTTAGGAGCCATGTGAAGGCCTGGTCTGCACCAGACGTGAAGAGAAGATGATGGAATGCACAAGATGAGGTGCGCATGGAGGAAGATTGAACACAATATCTGGCCATCATGGAAGGGATTATTCACACTCTTGAAGGTTGCGAGTAGAGAGGAAGTAGTAGCATGCGAGGGAGATAGAAGATGAGATGAGGCGTGAGTCAGAGGAGGATAGAACACAAGGTGAGGTGTGGGCATCATGGAAATCAATCCTGCCCAGGAACACAGAGGCAGTCGCCTACATGACAAAGGCACAGGACGCTTCGGCGACTATCATGACAGCCACTAAGTTCGTGAGGTGGTAGCAGGAATGACATAGAAGGGATGGCGAGGTCATGCTACCGTCTTCACCCGAATAGAATGCCCGGTCATTATATCTGTATTTGGCAAAACTTTCAGTCCAGATGCAGCGATAATGACCCGGCATTCTATTCGGGTGAAGACGGTAGGTGTGCTTGGAAGTTGCGGTGGTTAGATTCCTTCAGCAGAAAAATTAAACCTGAGGGAGAGTGATCAATGATATAGAGATCTGAGATACATGTAGGAGCCACTGTGAGTTGGTCTGGAGGTGGAAGCGGAATGATGGGTGACTTGCCACTGTGGTTGGTTGAGGGGTTTCATCTCCGAGCGGAGATGGTTGGAGGAGGTTGGGCTGGGTGCTGCACACATCGTGTTCACTTTTCCCCTGTGGTTGATTCCCTACAGGCATCTATCTCAAAAGACAGAGTGGGCAATCCACTGACCGTGCCATATCTCATAGCGTGCAGCTGAATGAGTCCGCATGGCTCGAATCTGCTCGGGACAACCATGAAGTCCGCTCCTGCAGTGATCAGATGCGCCAGAGGCACATTAAACTTGCATACTGCGCGGAACTTATCAGGGAACTCGTTCTCCAAGCTCTCCAATTCTGTTTCAAACTTCTTTTTCCCCGTTCCCTGATGCTCAGCACACACACACACACACACACACACACACACACACACACACACACACACACACACACACACACACACACACAAACAAACAAACAAGCAGACAAACAGAGCTCAATGAGTTCATGAAGGATTAGCAGAAACAGCGATGTGTGGCATACAGTTGCGACCTACACCGAGGTAGGTGGAAAGCAGTTTGTGCCAACTTTGTGGAAAATATATTTATATAATTTTGTAAGGTGCAACTACCGACAGCCCCTGAGTTTGGTCTGACAAAGCTAATTCCCCCTTTTGTGGATGCATTCCGAGCCAAGGTGAGGCGTGGTGATTGCACTATCCCAAAATTCCCACCATGGTATGAAAAAAGGTACACCGTGATGGATACATAATGTCAGAGGACAACCCCATTCTTTCCCTTTTTTTCCTTTTTTTTCAATAAACAAAAGCATCTTTATACGCATCAGGCAGGAAATCTTTCAATCAATATACGCTTCAATCAAAACCAAGAGGCATGTGTCACCAGAACAGCCACACTCGCTGTTGCGCTTTGAAAGAGAAGCCAAGGGTTAAACCACCCGAGAATGACAGTAAAGTTTGCCATTTAAGTCCGCGCTTTTCTGAATCCATTCTGGAACTAACGCTTTTTTAAGTCCTGCCGTCTGCACCTAATGGAGAGGTGGTTTAGATTCTTCTCTCAACATTCATTATCAAGACTGAAGTCACCGAACAAAATAAGCAATAAAAAGTACTGTGTTGAAGTGTGTTCTCCTTAGTGACACACTCGCCTACAGCCAATAATCGCGGATGAAAGCCCTGGAGAAAATGGCAGCTGCCTCTGCCAAGCGCGCCACGTAACGTCTGCAAGCAGAGCAATCTTTGAAACCCATTTCTCTTTGATCGGCATGACAGACATCGGGGAGGAGAGAGAGCTGAGTATTTTTTCTGCCAGTTCACTGCTTGTACAACCAGCAGCAGCAGCTATGGGAAAGGCTTGCACGCCGATGCACAGGGCTGAGGAATGAACGCAAATTCTCAATTCATGGGAGGGAAGGCAAAGAAGCAAGGTTTTTCTCCCCCCCAAAAGGATCGATCATACCCATGATGGTTGGAGAATAGCCATGATGTTAAGTTCCAAGTTCTCACCAGAAGCAGCAAAAAGGAGGACAATGTTTTGTCGAAAGTTTGTCCACTTACCAACACAACCAGTTGCAGATCCTCCTGCATGAGCTCCGGGACGGCAGCACAGAGCAAATCTGAACCTTTCTGCTCCTCTAGCCTCCCGATGAAGGCAAACAATGGGATATCTGCTCTCACTGGAAGTCCAACCTCTGCTTGTAGAAGCTCCTTCAGTCCTGGCTTTACCTCGAGGACCTGCGAGTGTCAACGGTTCCCAAACAGTAACCAGACATGAGAGGTCAGAACGCCACCTTGCCACCTTATGAGTTAAAAACATCGTGCAAAGCCTTCGCAAATCACATAAACATCAAGCTTTCCCGGGCGGGGAAGGGACCACGCCCGGGGTACCCCGTGCATGCAAAAGTTGAAAAAACCCACCAAGTTTGTTTTTTTTTTTTTACCGCCAGACCTTGCTGCGTTTTGGGAGTAGTGCCCAAATCCGGCCTCTTTTTTTATTTTCATGCACGTTGATTTCTGTGGGTTGGGCGGGGGGAGGGGGCGCAGGAGGGGGCGAGTTCGAATCCTGTATCAGCACGCACCATCGATCTATGCAGATCGACGGCCAGAATCCCCCAAAAAATTAAAAACCTACAAAACGGGGCCTACCGGACCCCCCAAAAATACGCGCCGACTGCCAAAGACAAAGTTGGCACGTTTGGAATAGGGCTGCGGGTCTGCGGCACGAAAAACAATTTTGAAGCTTTTTCTGCCTTGGTGTGAGAGGCACCCGGGTGCCTGCTCGGGGGGGTTCCCCGGCCGGGTGCCCCGGACGCCCTTCCGGGCATGGTGGGGTACACCGTGCGCCTGTGCTGGAAAGCTAGATAAACATTCATGGCCTTTCTAGCTTTTTTCTAATGTCGCTTCCAATCATACTACTACTAGCTCTGTTACTCTTCTTTCCAGCTACGACTACACTACTGTGTGTACTATTACTATTCTTAGTAATTTCTTACCACTTCACAACTGGTATGAATACTATGAAATTATGAATAGCATTAGTTAACAGTATTCCCAATTTACCACTGTCACTACTGTGTACTGCTATTGCTGGTAGCAGTACCACTATTATTTCCACCACTAATGCTCCTCCTCCTCTTTCCATTGAGAGAAGTGCACATTGTTCATTACTTCTCTCCATCCTTTTACTGCTCTCATCAGTACTGACAGTATTATTACTACGACTCTCAGAAGCACAGGCCCTACAGGTGTGCTATGTTTGAGGGAAGGCAACACCGATCTGGTTAATTTTTCGAACAGGGTTTGCCCGCAGGTAAACCACGAGCATAGCACCAGGGTGGTGTAGTCCTTGCAATCCACCTGCTATACATGTCATCCAACAATAACCAACCAGAATACAAGATGAATTGGATGAAATGAGGCAAAGAGAAAAAGGAAGGCGTATTGAAACGGAGATTATCAATAGCATAGGGAGCTGCTGAGTGCAGAGGCCACCAATGTTTACCATGTAAGAAAAGTAGTTAGTTCGGCAGCTTCTCCACTGAGCAGCATCAGCACATTGAACACCATATATATGCTGTTATGAAAGCATCAGCACATTACACACCCAATCTCATTTACACTCACGTTTGAAATGTCGTAATTAATATCCAGGTATCTGTCCGAGGAGGGGTCCCACTCCTGCACGTCCATCCCATTAACAATTCCGGTGATACCCTTCCTCTCAACAACGTCATTCAGTTCCACACCCTTGTCGTCACCAGAGACAAGTTCTGCGGCATAGTTGGGGCTGACTGTCAGAAGCATATCCGACTCCTCAAAACCGGCTTTCATCCAGTTGATCTTCGCACCAACCACAGGTTTTTCGTACCTGGACCACCCAAATGATACACGACCAGTTTGGCATGTCAAGTCATCATCAGGTCACTAACCTTATGCCAATGATGACACGAATGCACCACTACCCATCCAGCACGTCAAGTCATCAGGTCACTAACCTTATGCCAATGATGACATGAATGCACCAATACCCATCCAGCTTCCATATATATGTGCATGCCAATGCTGCCACATAATTTGTGAGACATACGGACAGCTCAACATGCACATCTCTCCCTCATATGGTGCACTTTTGGATAGGTATTATTCGGTAGACATTGTTGAAGGCAGTGCTTGTTGATAAAATCACATGCATGACGCATCATATAACACACACGGTTCAGTTCCCCTTGTTCCCTGTGGTAGATAATAGCAAACTACATGACATACCCTCATTCAGAATGCAAAAGCCACAACCATATCGATACAAACATACATTCAAGCTCTATTCAGTTGGGCGCAAAAGCAGCAGGTAGAAATAGTTGAGCCAAAGAACACTTACAAGTCACAAAGTATGCAACCCTTGCTAATAAACAATAAATAATTTCCACGCGGATCCGTCTATGGAAGTGAAACCAGGTAGTCCAAAAGCCTTGTAGAGTTAGGCAGTTGTCCAGGATATCCAGCCCCCTCCTGGCTGTCCAGCGAATCCAGCCAGGCCCTGGCCAGATCAAAAGGATTCAAAGGCCAGGGCCAATGGCACATTGTCCTGGCCAGGCCACAGATTGCCATTATACGACCCAAATCGGGCCCTTATTTTCAAATGTTCTGCGGATGCCAGATTGATCGGCGACTTTGATCTTCTGAGTTGCATGTTCTGGTTGTTCTGGTTGTTCTGGAGGGTTCTTCTAACATCTATATGTTCAGGTTGTTCTGGAGGGTTTTACATGTTCAGGTTGGTCAGGTGGCTGCGGTTGTTCTGGTCTGTCTGTCTAGTTGTGTGTCTGAGTTGGGCCAGGGTGTGTGCAGGGTGTTCCCATAGGCGACATGGTGGCTCTTTTGTAATGCGCTGACAGAGGGCGGGGCGGGTGGACTGAGCTTCATGGGTACGTGGTAGTCTCCTGGCTTGGCTAGCCAGCTCCCTCAACTCCTGGGTGAAAGAGGGGAATGTAGCTCCAGATGCCTGGGCAGAGCCCCTGATCCATACCTTATCCTCCAGAACTGTCGCATGCCTGTCTGGATCTGAGAAAACAGCAATGTAATGCAGCGGAAGACTGAAAATGCACAGATAGGACTCATTGGGATGAGGACATGACACACACACATCATCATGCAGAATGGCACGGACGCCTTGCCCACACTCATGGTGAGGTAATCCCATGGACGGCGGAGATAGAGGAATGAGACGAAAGGGGGGAAGAAGAAGAGAAGACTGCCACTCAATGTCATTGCCTAACCATAATAGTAGTCTCTCGTGAAAGCGCACAAGTAGTCTCAGTCCAAGTGTCAAGCCTGGGTCTAGGCAGCACAAATGTCACCAAGTCTCATCTCTCTCTCTCTCTCTCTCTCTCTCTCTCTCTCTCTCTCTCTCTCTCTCTCTCTCTCTCTCTCTCTCTCTCTCTCTCTCTNTCTCTCTCTCTCTCTCTCTCTCTCTCTCTCTCTCTCTCTCTCTCTCTCTCTCTCTCTCTCTCTCTCTCTCTCTCTCTCTCTCTTACGTCCTGACACTGACCAGCGAAAGATGGAACCTTGAGCTGTCCTGTGCTGCAGGTGATGGCCCGCCCTGGCCTGGTGATGGAGCTCCAGCTGCAGCACCCTCAAGGTGAGTCCTCCAGCTATGGCGCCCTTGGTGAGTCTCCTCTTCTGCAGCACCTCCCTAGCCTCTACTCCGTTGCACTCTTATCTCCACTATGCTGCTCTAGTGCTACACCTCTAGCACTACATCCAAGCAGCATGCCGAAGTGTAACTCCTAACACTGCGTAGCTCCAACTGACTCGAACTGAGTGATGGCCCAGCCATATAGCGGTGGGCTTACTTGAAGTTACCTCGGCCTGTGTCCAGGCCAGTCCGATCGCACCTCCGATTGATGGTACAAGATGCAGGCTCATGTCCTGGTCCTGATGCCCTGGCGCAAAACGGCCTGCCTGGGTCCTTACCAGACATCAAGGCTCCTCTGCTGATGCAGCAGAGGTGGCCCTGTCCTTACGCAGACAAAATCCAGCTGGTCCTGAAAACCGGCCGCTGGGCCTGAATCAGGCCCAGCCAGTCCAAACAGGCTAAAAAGGGCCCTGTTTGGGCCCGGCCAAAAGTCCAAACGACACATCCGGACCAGACAAAACCTGGACAATCCCAAACGACACATCCCAGACAGGATAAAATCTGTAACAGACAAAAATACTCCGAAATCTAAATAATCTCAGGGGAAAATAAAGAAAACCCCAAAACACCTTCCACATGCCCCCTATCCCCTACCTGGTCTATCCAGGCCCAAAAAGGGGGCCGTGGGCCTGGGATCTGCCTGAAATGCTGTCCGTGAGGCCCAGAGACAAGGTTGCAGTACTTTGAACATCGAAGTGCAGAGTACGCCATCGGCCCCCCACAGCCATAACAACCTCACAGCGATGTACATCCCCCAACCCTCCACAGAGCCAGTCTTCTTCTTCTCCCTTCTCGTCTTCTCCTCTGCCCTTCTCTTTGTCTTTCTCCTCTCTTCCCCACCATTCTCTTGCTCTTCTTCCCGTTCTTCTTCCTCCTCTTCTTCCATGTCCTCCTTTCTCTTCTTCCCCTGGCCTTCTTCCGTTAGGTGCAGCAGCACACATCTTGATTTTCCACTCTGTGTGCATGCCCGATATTGATAGGATGATATGAGGCAGAAGCATAATCTCCTCTTCTTCCTCCTCTTCTTCCTTGTCCTCCTTCCTCTTCTTCCCCCGGCCTTCATCCTGCTGCACATCGATAGGATGATCTGAGGCGCCAGCACAGTCTCGAAGTGGATTGAGCAAGACAAGGAGCACAGCCTGCTGGAGCTTGGGTACTATGTCCTTAGGTGTTCTCTACTTGGGGAGGTGATCAGGTCAAGGACATAACCCCTCAACCATTCCATTCAATAGAATGCGCACTGCAGGGATTGTACTGCAAGATCCTATACCGTCTCCAGCGCCAGCGGGTCAAGTTCAAGGACTATCTATTCAAGGGATTGGCCATGGCGCTTGCAGATAGGCATCAAGAGTTAGAGAGGACGGTGTTGCAGATACACCAGCCCCAGAATTGGGGTAGGTGTGACTGTGGAGAGGGCCATGCACATAACAGGTCAGGCAGAGACAACCTTCATTACAAGTTGAAGAGGTTGATTCAAAGGGGGCTGGAGCGGAATAAAGGAAGGGCACGGTGGCCGTGGATGCATGATACACATGTGAGCAGGTTGGGGACTGTTGCAGGGATTGATGGAGCAAAGATCGAGAGTGGGGGGCGAGGCATACACGAACCATCCTCGATCCCTAGGTGCACACACAATAATTCCATCCTGAATTTTGAGGTCTGAAAATTCAAAATTCTGAAGTGGGAAAAAAGGGTGATTGTTCCGCCTGAACTTTCAACAGCTTTTCTTCTTTTTCACCCTGTGGCCATAGCATGAAACAACTGGTTTCAGCTTCAGGGCATTCAAGCCTTCAGGGGAGGAGGGGCCCAAACCATGAAAATCCTAAGTGGGAAAAACTCCGAAAAGGGGGGAAGGGGAGGGAAGCACACGAACCCCTTTCAGAGATTTTCATCACTTGGGACTCTGGACATGAAGATCCTGAAGTGGTGAAAATTCTGATGGGAGGGAAGGGTGAGGGAAGCCATTGCCCTCTCACCCTCACCCCGACTTGAAGATTTTCAAGGAATGGAGGGCGGCTGAAAACCTTCAAGATTTTGAACTGATGAATATTCTGAATGTAAGGGACCCTTCCGCAACACCCAAACCTGTTTTTTTCCCCTTTGTCCTCCATCCAGGTCCTCCTCCCCCCCTCTCACCCCCTTCCTTCGGACTGCTTTCCCCCCTCTCTTTCAGAAGATCCTGAATTATGGACGCATCTAAAAATATATAGATTTGTTAAGTTTTATCAACTTTTTTTAACTTTTTTAACAATATATCCTAGGTGGGTAACTTCTACTGCCGGCAATCGAACCGGTAAAGAGGTAGTGTTCTATTTTCTTGCCTTTGGCTAGAGGAGTTCCACAAGCTACACAATTACTTTATCACCTTAATGCAACCTTCCACCACCCTTGACTCCAAGATTGCTATCCCACTAGGATGCGTGACTACAGATGCTGGACATCATTTACCACAATGTCACAGCGGCTATCGTGCAGAAGAAGACAAAGTGTAACAGAACTGACTGCACTTTGCTGACCGATGGACCAACGTCAACAATAAAACCGATCATGAACTTAATCATAGCTGTCGGTTGGGAGTCTTGGGACCCACCCTCATTCAAACAATCGGTATGTTTGAAAGGGTCAGGACTGGCAAGAATCTCCCGGCTGTCTGAGAGGGTGGCATTTGGCATGTCAATGCAATCTGTACTGACAATGCTGAAGCCAATAAAGATGTGGCAGCAGTCATGTAATGACACCCCGGTGCAGATGTTATCCCCGACACATAACCAGTGCGCCAAGTTTCGATGTAGCCCACATTCTGTCTTTCTTAACAGATAACCAGTGGGCCGAGTTCTGAAGGTATTATCCGTACTCTTGAAACGTGGGCTCCACTGTCTTTTGATGGCTCCAATGATCCAATCTAAGATTGCTGCACGTGGTGGAAATCGGGTCCTGCATCCTTACAATTATTGGAGTATGAGAGCGTCCTGGGACGCCATTTATTGCCCTCCTAAGAGAGGATTGACTACCTTCGCAGGATTGAAAAGGTCGTGCCCTTCCTGATTACCTCTGGGCGGCGATACCCACTACTTGCGCAATGCAGTTAAAAGGGCCTTTACCCGATATAGGCCTCAGGCCTTGTAAAAATAAAGCAGCACGGGCCTTGAAAAAGTAAAGCATTGTGAAAAGGTATC